CCTGCATAAGGTATAAGGGATAGAAAGACCCATGGTCTTCCCTTGTTGCTTTTGCTACCTTGTGGGTACCACGAAGTATTCTCTGTGATGCCACCCTCTTTGACTGAAATTTCTACAGACTAAGCTAAGTAAACCTTTCCACTTTTAATTTTGGATGTTGGGTATTCATTCTCAGCAGTGAAAGAAAAGTAACCAAGACACTGGGTTAGCTGTTTCTGCATTCTTGGTCTTTATTCTGGTATAGCTGTGTAATCATGACAGTTTCACCACAAACATATGAAAGGTTCTTTCTACTGCTTTCCGACATGACCTCTACTGTCCCTTGAGTATCCTAGAATTTATGCCTTGCACATGTGTCTGATACACATAGATACACACAGGTATACACACACACACACACACACACACACACACACCATAGAACATGTGTAATGTTCATGCAATGCATTTGAAGCTAAGTACAAGTACATTGACAAAAACGCAGGCTTGAAACTTGTTAGGAACTGTGACTTCTGCCTCTGCCAGTTCTGTCTATGCTGTGGGGCAAGTTACTTAATCACTTGAAGCTTGGGTTTTCTCAACTACAAAATGAAGAAGATGAAAATAAAAACTGTGAAGATTGAAAGACATGTTATATTTGAGTACTTAGCTTAGTGATTTTCTTATAGAAATGTTTAATACATGGTAGCGATCTTTGCAGTTTTTTATTTTTAAAATATTTGTATTGAGAAACAAATAGCAATAAGACAGTTTCACAACTGATTACTAGTACATTTTCAATAATTAATACATTGCATATTGTTGTCTTAGTGGTTATTCATTGTACAAGAGCAGACCTGATATCCTGTCTCAAACACTATTAGAACAAACCTCTCTATTCATTGAATTAAGAGAATGGAGCTGCATATCTATCCTATTTTGAGTATACAGATACAAAATGGTCGTTCATTTGTATCTCCATTTTTTGGTTAGTTTTGTCAGAGAAGGGTATTCCATTGTCACTTCAATACTGTAGGTGCATGAGTTCAGCAAAATATCCCAATATATCCAATAGTCCATAATAGTAGTGGGTTTTCCATAAGACTGTCAATGTCCGAAGTTGTTGACTTGAGCATTTTACAGTTTCTTTGCAGTTATTAATATGCAAGAACATAATTCATTTTTGGCATGTATGTAAGCTTGTATTTCTGAATTTTGAGAATCTGGCACAAAGCTTCTCTTTATCTAAGAACTTACCTTGAATCTTGACGTTAGTTTTATCTCCTTTTCTTTGACCTTCTATGGGACCTTGGAAGCAAGTCTTTCATCTTCAACATGTAGCTTTCAGTGTCCAAGTGTCTCATTGGCCTTGTGCTAATACCAATATTCCTTTGAGGTCAGTGCAAAGCTTGGCTCCAGAATCCAGCATTACCTGGAGAATATCAGTGTGATTTTTCTTCTCCCATGGACAGTGTGTGTGATGTGGTGTCCCATAGGAGGCCATAGGGCAGAGTTAGGCCAGACTTTTGACCCCAGGCATGGAGCCAGCTTCTCAGAGTGCAGGGTACCATACACTGGAGTGATGTGCCTGTGGTAAGCTGACCAACCTCTTAGGCTTGGGTCCTAGTAAGGGAACCAAGATGTTGCATCTGGGGGATGAACAGCACTACTCCACTGTCCGAACAGCCCACTGGGATTATAAATTTTGCATCAGTAAAAAAAAAAAAATAGGGACAAAGGGTTTTTCTTTTCTTTTTTAACACTGGAGATCATATTCAGGACCTTGCACTGGCCAGGCAGGCATTTATGTCACTGAGCTATCTCCCTGGCTAGAGACAAAGTTTAATGAAAGAAAGACACTTGATTTATAAAGTAGAAAAGCAAGAGAGACCAAAGGAGATTGATAGCTAACATGAAATGAAAGAAATAGGGTAGGAGACTCTCGAAAGGTGGAGGAACTGTGGGCCTTTTGTTCACAGCTGCTTTTATAGGGGGTTGAGTGGCCTTTCCTCCTACACCCAGAAGTTCCCATCAGTCCCAGAACTTCCCGTAACTGGATTGGCTTCTGGGCAACTCTGCCTACATTATTTCTTCTGGTCATCTATATTCACCTTTTTGTTTATTTGTCCTTGGCTTACCTTTTAAGGCCTTATAATTGGGGTGGGCAACTAGTTGACAAGAGGGTACTTTGTTCATGGTTAGCTTGGAGATAGTAAAGAGGCATGTGGATTTGTAATGTCTATTGTATTAAATAATGGCACTGGAGTGAATAATATAATGACTCTAGAATGAGTGTGCGTGTATATGAATATGTGAGTTCATAGGTGTGAGTATATATTGCCTTGAAGTTAGTCCGGCCACCTTTGCTTCCCTTTTGTTCTATTGGAGGTGAAGGCGACTTACCATTTGTGCATTTGGTTTTCTCTCTGTCTTGCCTATTGGCTTTTTTAAAATTTTAATCTCCTGGTGTACATGCCAAAACTGCTTTATTTGTTTTGGTTTTTCTCTTTTTCTACCCCTGTCTTTGACTTGCTTCCCAGGGAAATTTCTCTAGTTAAGTTTGGATTTTACCTCTTTCTAGTCAGAATTAGCTAGAGGACCTAAGGAGGTTCCTATTCTATTTTTTTTTTCATCTACAAACTCCTGCTCCAGGTGGCCAGTGTAGCATTATATTGGTATGCCTCATTTTTATGCACTAAGCCAACTCCCATTAACCTGAACAGCTGCTTTGCCCTGTCCTGGTCAAGAAGGCTTCTTCTCTTAAAATTTTCCTTGGAAAGCATGTTAAACTTGGGCTGGGCAATGCAGGAAGAGGCGAGAGACCCTGAACCCAATAGGAAGGACAGGGAGCATCTCTAACTTATCACTTGAAGCCATTTGGGAGGCTAAGGGGAAGGGAGGCAGACTGATGTAAGGCCTGGAGAAAGAAGAGTTGGAAGTCTGAAGTCAGATAAATCTGGGTGTGAGCCCTGGATACTATCTGATATATGACATTCATCTGGTCATCTCACATCAGTGAACCTGGTTTGCTCATCAGCAAGCCGGGGAAAGTCATTATATCTATCTCAGAAGGTTGCTGTAAAATTAAATGAGTGTTTCAGTGAAGCAGTTAATTAGATACTTGCCTGGAATGTATTCAGTGCAGATTCTCATTGTCACCGAGGCTTTGGTGACGAACGTGGGAAGAAACAGACTAGGGGAAATGAAAAGGAGTCTTGGAACTTCTGAGCCATTTTTGGGATCTTATAATGTCTCTTAGTCTTACAAACACTTTTGTGAATTCTGAGAAAGGACCCACAGTTTTAGAAGGTCCGGCAGACAGACGCTGAGACCCAGATGATGTCTGTAGTGTCTTGAAGTATCTTTTCTTTTTAGGCTTTTTACTTTATTATGTTTACATGTTTACAATTCCTGCAGTTTGTAATCATCTTGGGGAACGGTTACATGTCCATATTACAACTTGTTTTTTTCTCCCCTTCTCCTCCTGCTCTGCTTCCCCTATACACTTTTTCATATTTATTGGCATTATTTGTCTTAGCACATGTTCTGACATGTAATGTTTATGTTCATTGGCAAAACTAGGATCCTGAACATGGTGCATCTTTATTCCTCTCATTCCCCTTGCTCCTTGGTCCACTCAATCTGTTCCCTGGCCCCTTTCTAGACATCCTGTGTCATTTTCTTTGTTGTGCCTTGCCTCATTCAAATGAGTGATACCATATGGTATTTAAGTCTGGTTTATTTCACTTAACATTATATTTTCCAGGTGTATCCTTTTCCTGCAAATGGTTCAAATTTGTTGTTCTTTATAGCCAAGTAGCATTCCATTATATATAAATACCACATTTTCTTTATCCAGTCATCTGTTAATGATATCCAGGCTGCTTCCAGAATTTGGGTATGCAAGTGTTAAGCAGCATGTTGACTCAGTGATGGTTGTCCATGAACCATGCAATCAGCTTTTCATGAGGAGTACGGAGCATTTGCCCTCAATGATGAAGAGAGCTGCTTAAATCCTTCTTCAGAGCCTTTACAAGTAGGGTTTCTTGTTCAGTTAATTGTTGTTGATTTGTGAAGAGTTTGCATTTTTAAACATCTGGTACTGGAACCAGGAAGCAATACCATTCATTACTTGATGTACACTATTTTTTCATTGCCCATTTTACAGGGCCCAATATATAAAACTGATCAAAGCAAACCTGGAGAACTGCCACATTTGCCCTTCCCATCTCCTGCAGCAGTTCTTGAAGGCATTTCTAAGAGAATAGGGAAATACAGCTTGCAAAACACTGCAATTGGCTTCCTATTGGAGGTTTGTCCCAGCTTTTGTATTCAAGTCTCTTGTTTGGGGAAAAGTCTTGGCCATGGCTGTATAAACAAGTAGCTGTCTTCTAATTGTCTTTTACTTTAACAAGGGAGCTTTTAACGACTAGCTTCCCCTTTCCAGTACCATAGCAGTTGAAACCATTGGTTCCAGCTGGCTGAATGTTTAAGGATCATATAGGTCATGATGTAATGAAGTGTTACAATGTTTTTTTTATTTATTTAGGACAGGGTCTACAGGGTCTATAGGGTCTCACTGTGTAGACTGGACTCATAGTGATCCTCCTCTGTTTACAGCCTCCCACGTGCTGGCGTTACAAGCGCATGCCACCACATCCAGTCTCAATTGCCTTCTCAGCACACCCTGAGGGCAGGCCTAGGGATCAAACCCCCGGCCCTTGTGCCTTCTTGCAGGTGCTTTAATCCACTGGGCTATTTTGCCGACCCTTGAAGTGTTATGATCAAACCCTAAGTGTCCGGGGGATTCTGAGGCAGTGATAGTACTCTTCAGAGCATTTTACTTAATGTAAAACATGTTACTTTTAATTTATTTTGCAGGTTCTCAGACCTTAGGGCTGTTTTACACAGAACCACTTGTATACTTAGCCCTCTCCCAGATGACCTGGTTTAACCTAACACATTTTCTTCTTTGAATCAGAGTCTGAATGTGAGCTGACTTGATTTTCTTTTCCCTATAGGTTGCAAATGCACATGTTGAATGGAGCTCTTTTGGCACTACTGTTTCCTGTGGTAAATACCCGGCTGGTAAGTAGACTATTATAGAAATGTTCTGGCAACATCCAGAAAAGTATGTGTTTATCCCTTTGTTATCTAGTGCCTGTCTTCATTCTTATCCTCTATATATGCAGGTGTGATGTGTGTGTGTGTGTGTGTGTGTGTGTGTGTGTGTGTGTTGAGGTTTGATGTAATCCTGCTTGGATGCAGTGGAGGTTGATGGGATATCAGTATTCTGTGGAACTGCATCTACAATAAGTGTTTAAATCAGAATGGGGGCAAACTGAAAAGGCCCAGAGAAACTGGTGGAAGTGTGGTTGAAAGAAAGGGGGCTGGAGCACCATGCATTAAACAGAGACTTCCAGGTATTCTTAGTGGCTGTTAAGTAGGCTCTGGCATAGTGGCCTATGCTTATGTTTTAGGGAGTCTCAAAGCTGTCTACCTTGCCAAGGGCCTCCTTGGGGAAGAATTAGATTCCTTCATCATTCACCCAACCCACCAGGAGGTGTGAATTACACCCCACCCTGAGGCTAGCATGCAAACACTACTGTGGTAGGGGATTAGGTGATAAATTTTCCTCAAGAGTATGGGGCTGGGGAGATAGCTCTGCCTGTGGTCTAAGTGCCTCCTAGTAAATGCAAGGACACGGGTTTGATCCCTGGTACCACATGCCATCCCAGCATGGTATTGCACACCTGTAACCCCTGCACTGGGAAGACTGAGACAGGAAAATCACTACCAGCTAGAGCTGCATAGTGAGACCCTGTACAAAATAAATAAATAAATAAATAAATAAATAAAATATTCTTTTAAATACTTTTAAATTTTTTTAAAGTAGAGCAGAAGCCATAGTGTTGGTGATGTAGGGTATTATCCTCAGATTCACACATACAGGACTGGGCAAGGATTAGCAGTCAATTTTCAAAAGCTCCAGGAAAGAAATCATCCATAGGGGCCGGGGAGATAGCTCAATGGAATAAGCACTTGCCTGGCAAGTGCAAGGACCTGAGTTCAATCCCTGGTTCCACAAAAGAAACAAACAAAAAAAAAAAAAGAAAAGAAAAGAAATCATCCATAAAATCATTCTTCTTGGCTTTTGCTTTCATAACTCAAATTTACTTCATACACGAAGACCATAATTTAACTCTTGGTAATCTTTTTTGGATAGCATTTTTTAGTTCACAAGGCCTTTTAATATAATAGGCATGGGAAATAGGGTAAATCTTGCAGCCCTTTATTTTATAGGGGAAGAAATGGATGGTCAGGAAGTTCCATAACTTTCTAGTGGCCAAATGAGGATCAGAGCCTGATTCTACAACCACACCTATACCTTGTTTTTCTAAGGATTTTTTCATGTCCTCCCTACAGTTGCTCAAGTATGCCCTTGTGGTACTTGTACTTTTTTATATGCAGGTTATACATAAGTCAAAGTTAAAAGTGAAGGCATTTATCTAAAGCAATTATGGTGAACCTTTTAGAAATTTGCAGTTGTAAAAAATAGCCCACTGCAGCATGCATGCCATGGGTTCACCACCACTGATCTGAAGCAATGATTGGGAATCCTCACTATGCTCCAGGATCACCTAATGAACCTGATTTCATTGTTTCACATATAGACCATATCAATGCTTCACTTTGCATAAATACCCTTTAAGTATATACACCATTGTCTTCCATCCAGTTATATGCCATTATTTGTCAATTAAAAATAAAATTAAAACCAAACTAGTGGAAGAACAGCACCGATACCCATCCCTACCCTTGGGGAGTCTTAAGTTTGTGGTCTGTGTTGAAACATGTCCATCACATTTTCAGTAGTAGTTCTAGATGATTCTATAGAGCCAGAAGTAAAACCACTAATTTTGTATGGTGGCCCATAGAAGTAAGCTAGGGTCGTGTTAACAACAGAAGCTGGAAAGCCAGGATATAGGTCAGTAGTAGAGTGTTTTCCTGGAATGTACAGGCTAAAGGTTTCATCCCCAACACTAAACAACAAGCAAAAAGACTTTCACACACCACAACATTTTTGCTTAAGGCTCAAAGATATGGGACACTATTGGAGCAGAAGTTACTCGACTGTGGAGGTAGCCTGCTAAGGCAGAGAGGTGGATGGGCTACTATCTTATTTCTCTGCTTTCTTGTTCCCATTTTCTTAGAATATTGAATGATCAAGCACCTAGACAGCCACTTTCCATTTTTAGCACCTCTATCAGATTCCAGGAAGGGAAGACATGTCAGAAACCCCCGACCCAGACTAATAGAACCAGACACTGTGACTTTTGGGTGCCTGTAGCCCATGATTCTCGCTGTATAGTCCTTCCCATCAGTTGAAGTGGATACAGTCCAACTAGATGAGCTGACTTCAGCTTTATTTGTACTAGCATCTTTCCCCCACTGAAAACCAAATAGCCTTCTCATACATAGAATTTATGAATCCCATTGTGCAGCCATGAGAATAAGGACACCAGAGGGCCCAGTTGTCTATCCCAGATCATTAAGGTCTTAGTGGTGAGGTTTTCATTCAGTTGACATTGTTAGACCAACGATAATGTGCCTCATAGTGTCTGCTGGTGTTTTCATAGGCCCTTTGCCAGATACAAGGTCTGGTATTATCCCCAAAGCCAAGATGCCAGCAGACTGACTTCCTCTGAGGCATTTCTCTTTGATTCACAGATGGTAGTTCTCTTGTTGCCTCTTCATCTGTTCACCTCTCTGCACACATGTCTATAGTGTCTCTTTGTGTGACCGAATTTATTATCATTAGGACACTCATCAGACTGGATTAAAGCCCATTTTAGTGGCCTATTTTTAGTTCAGTCTCCTCTTTGCAGGCCCTGTCTCCAAATACACTCACATTTGGAGGTATGAGAGGTTAGGACTTCACCACACAAAGCTTTTGGCAGGGGTTAGGGGGACACAGTTCAGTGCATAGCACCTATACAACCCTACACACAGAATATTGTCTCTGCCCCACATCCCCTACCTTTCTTGCCTTACTCTTTCCCTTTTCTTCCTCTTTCCTTCTTCCCCAATTCATGACACATGTGCTAGTTTATCTGTTAACACTAACAGCAGATACTTTCCAAATCTTGCATACTTGTTTATCACGCATGTTCAAGTAACTCCCTATCACTAAAGGTTTTATGATGGGCTGTCTTTTAAAATTAGTGGTTCTAGTCACTGTTACACATCTTTATGCTCTTTTGCTAATGAAGCTGAGCAAATATTAGGATGTCTCAAGTTCCATGTGCCTTTGCACTTGACCTTGATCTGCTTCTTTGAGTTACTTGAAACTCTGTTTGGGCAGTTCTGTCCTTCAGGGATGTTTGCTTTGTAAACCCTTAGATGAGCTCAGATTGTCTTAAATGAGACACAGAAAGACTGACAATTCTTTCTTAAATGTGATGATCCAATTAGGCAAAAAAGCCAGCATTTTCTTTTTCTTTTGCCATTCCTTCTTGGCCTCTTATCTTTTAATGCCTCCTTTTTCATTAGCAGTAATGAGGAAGCAAGAAAAATAAATTAATGAGTGTTTGTTCCTGTACCATTGATGTATATGTACTCAAATATAGATGGAGTGCGAGAATTTGAGGTGGAGTTGCCACAATCAGGTAAAGGACTTAGGGTTTTCAGTAAAGGTCTACATATGCTATTGTACGCTATGACTTATTGACATTAGGGTTTACAGACCAGCTAGAAAATGCCTGGATTTCTGTTCCTCATCATTCTCCATCTTCAAAGGTAACACCTTAGAAGAAAATCTATGTATTCCAGTGGCTTCAGTTACAAAGCAGTGAGCTTTATACCCAGGATTCTGAAAATCTATGTGGCTTCAGAAGTAGTGTCTTAAAGGAAATTACTAGTGATATGCCCTTTTGTTTCTTGTAGGACTATTCATAATTAGATTAGTAGGGAACTCAAACCTTGTTGCATTTAGTTTTATCTTCCTAAGGGAGAATTCAGGACCCTGGTGGTGAACCTATAGCATGCATGCCACAGTGGGATATTTGTATCATTGAAAGCTTTAAATGATTCACAATCACTGATAAGGATTCTTTTCATCAAGTTCCTTCTTAAAGATCCACAGCCTCCAGCGTATTATCATTTTGTTGTCTAAACTGCCCATTATTGTGTGTCCCTGGTGATCTACTCTGCTTGCTCTGTTGTTCTTCCTGACAAAGTACTGGAGATGCTTCTTAGCTTCCCTCCATTTGTAAGAGTCAGGTCATATGCTTCTCTGAGGAGGTGAAGAGAACTGTACTCTTTTCCAAACAAATGAACAATTTTCTGTGTGTGTGTGTGTGTGTGTGTGTGTGTGTGTGTGTGTTGGGGGATGGAAGAGTTTCACATAGATTAAGCCAGCACTTCATCACCAAGCTATATCCCCAGCCCACAAGCATGGTTCTGTCTATGATACTGGGGGAATATGGATTACATCTCCCATCCATCTTCTCCTCCCTGCTGCAAACCTGTCTGTGGATCCAAAATTATGATCCACCTGCACAGGCTGTCAGTAGCTCAGCTCAGAGAATAGATGTGCTATCTGTTCTTTGAGTTCCTTGTCATAGCCATGGGCCTTTGTGATGCTGCGTTCCTTTTCTGTGCCTGTGACTTTACAAAGAATATCACCTAATCTAGGTTAAACTACCTTCTGAAAAAATAGTGAAAGCAGAGAGATAGGAGCTGGGTTGGACTCCCACAGAACCTGGTTACATCTTAGATGTTCAGTTGTAGTTCTCACAATGCAGAGCTGGGATTCTGGCCCTGGGTTGAGGTACTGAGCCCATGCTGTGTCCTCAACCCTGCCTTTTGGCCTTTTTAGTCTTTAAACCTCATGAGAATTCCTACTAAGTATTCAAGGCAAAGGGTACTACACATAGAAAAAGAAATTTTAGGTGCTGTATCAGCCTGCCTCCCCTCGAAGACGCTAGCCTGGCCTATATTTGTGTTTGTAGCCATCTGTCTTTTACTAGGATTAGAAGAAAAAAGTGATGTATAAGGATTCTTTTCATCAAGTTCTTTTCTTCTGC